CAAATTTGTTAATAGTACACATTGGGACCTGCGTTTTGATGCAGCAGGTTAAGCTGCAGCCTGCAATGCCACCAGCCCACATAAGTGAGTCTCAGCTGCTCCACTTCCAATCCAACTCCTTGCTAATGTACCTGGGAACACAAAGGCAGCCTAAGTGCATGGGCCCCTTCTATGCATGTGGGAGACCCAGATGGAGTTTTGGCCTCCTGGCTTTGGCCCTGGCCCAGCCCCAGCTGATGCAAACATTTGGCAAGTGAACCAGCAGATGGAAAATGCCTTTCTCTCTGTTTCTCCCTCTGTAACTCTGCCTTAAAGTAATAATAAAAAGTACACAATAGTAGACACAGTTTTAGACCCTTGTCTCTGAAAAACCTTTGGAACTTGGATTTTTCCTGATGTTGGAGAGGGAGACGTCACTTATCTCCATTTCAAGATTAAACTTAAACATTAATTAAAGTGTTTTAAAAATAGTTCTATTAAGTACCAATTGTTAGGACTGCTTATTACCTTGAGTAAGCTAATTGCAGGGCTTGTGCATCAGATTATGGTATATGATCAATTAGAGTTGGAAGCCATGTCTTTAAGAGTAGGAGAAGGAAACCAATTAAAGTCAGACTTTGGAGAAGGTTGACACTTTCCTCCTCAAGTGTCAGGAAGTCAAGGAAGTTTTGTCTGCTAATGACAGGGAAGTGAAGTAATCATTACTAGATGTTAGTTACAGACTCCCTTTCCCCTCAAAGGAACTGACTCACGTATTTTCATGTGAAACCATGGAGTTTTAGGGAAAGCCAGAAACTCAGAAACCTGTTTCCTTACCAGGAAAAATGTCATCATCTCATCTGGGTTTTTATTATGCATGATGTTCTCTCTTGGTTTTTATGAATTCCTTTTAAGCATTTTTTTTTCTCTGTGAAGCATCAAGGAGTTCAGAGTTGGTGTTGGCTATAACTTTGATCCTTTTAACCTTTGAATTGGGTGAAGTAGTGCTTTCAAGCTTTTCATCAAATGGTTAAGCCTTGGTTCATTCCTCATTGCTTGTGAAAGGTCATCAGGGTCAGGACACGTAGGAAGGACCATCATGTTCAAAAGAGAAATTCTCTGTAAGGTGAATTCCTTGCAAGTATTTGGAGTTTCCAGATAGATATGCACCTGCCTAGCCTCCATCATTCTTTAGTTACCTAAATTCTCGTAAGCTCAGGACTACCCTAAGGCATATCATGCCTCCCCTAGAGGCTTGAAATGGATCATGCTCCTAAATGGCAGTGAGCATCCTCTTTGCTAATGTAGATGAGCCTGTTTGAGGAAAACTCAGAAGTCATAATGAGGCGTCGAAGTACCAGGCCCTGCTACTTACTCTCTACCTCTGTCCTTGTCTTCCCATCCTGTCTCCTGGTTAAAGGTATCACAATAGTTACTCTTCTGACCAACCAAAATCCTCTAATAGTAGGACTTTTTAACCCCATCTTCCCTGAACTTTATTAAGATGCAGAAAAGAACTTATTATTAAATAATTTTTTAAAATGGGGACTTCTGGGGCTGGCGCTGTGGTGCAGTGGATTAAAACCCTGGCCTGAACCACCTGCATCCCATATGGGCGCCGGTTCGAGACCCGGCTGCTCCACTTCCTATCCAGCTCTCTGCCATGGCCTGGGAAAGCAGTAGAAGATGGTCCAAGTCCTTGGGCCCCTGCACCCACATGGGAGACCGGGAAGAAGCTCCTGGATTTGGATCAGCCCAGCTCCGGCCATTGCGGCCATCTGGGGAGTGAACCATTGGATGGAAGACCTCTCTTTCTCTTTCTCTCTCTCTCTCTGCCTCTCCTCTCTCTGTGTAACTCTGACTTTCAAATAAATAAATAAATCTAAAAATAAAATAAAATGGGGACATCTAATGCCTACCAGCAAAATAGACATTTATGTATAAGGGAGTCTTCAAAAGTTCATGAAGGGATAGGTATTTGTCCTAGAGGTTTAGATGCCCACATCCCATATTGGAGTGCCTGGGTTCAAGTCTCTGCTCTGCTCTCCATTCCAGTTTCCTGCTAATGTAGATCCTGGGAGGCAACAGGTGATGCTCCAAGTAATTATGTCCCTGCCACCCATATAGGAGAACTAAAATGGGTTCCTGACTTTGGCCAGGGCCACGCTGTTGCAGAAATTTGGGGACTGAACCCATAGATGGGATATCTCTCTTTCTGTCTCTCAAATAATGGGGGAAAAAGTTCATGGAATTATATACTATGAAAAAACTACACAGATTTTTTAAATTTTTTTTGCACTAAGGTAAGTTTTTAATTCCATTTTTTCCACGAAATTTTTGAAGTCCCTGAAGTACTGGATGACTTCATGCAATAGAATGAACTGCAACAGAGAGAATGTCTGAACTAGAGCTACATGTAACAAACAACATGAATGAATCTTAGAAATATGATGGGCATACCAGCCAGCGCCACGGCTCACTAGGGTAATCCTCCGCCTGCGGCACCAGCACCCCAGGTTCTAGTCCCGGTTGGGGCACCGGTTCTGTCCCAGTTGCTCCTCTTCCAGTCCAGCTCTCTGCTGTGGCCCGGGAAGGCAGTGGAGGATGGCCCAAGTGCTTGGGCCCTGCACCCGCATGGGAGACTAGGAGGAAGTGCCTGGCTTCTGGCTTCCGATCGGCACAGCATGCCAGCTGCAGTGGCCATTTGGGGAGTGAACCAACGGAAGGAAGACCTTTCTCTCTGTCTCTCTCTCTCTCACTGTCTAACTCTGCCTGTCAAAAAAAAAAAATCCAGAAATATGATGGGCATAAAAAGCAAGTTGCAGAACTTACTTATATCTATGTCTATATATATTTAGGAACTTTATATATCATGTTTTTAAACTTGCAAAGAAATACTATCTAGTGTTAAGTGTAAAGATATGGATGATACACAACAAATTCAAGATAGTGACTCCTACAAAAGGAGAACTATATGGAAGAAATAACATGGAGGTTTCAATTATATTCATAATTTTTAAATTTTTAATATTTTGTTTATTTGAAAGACAGATCTTCGGTTGGTTCATTCCTCAAATGACTGTAACAGCTGGGACTAGGCCAGGCTGAAGCCAGGAACCAAGAACTCAACTTGTGTCTCCCATGTGGTTGCAGAGATCCAAGTACTTGGACCATCACCTGCTCTATCTCAGGGAGTGAAGTAGCAGGAAGCTGGAATCAGAAGTGGAAACAAAACTTCAACTCAGGCACTTTGATATGGGATTTGGGCATCCCAAGCTGTGTCTTAAACACTAAACCCAGTACCTGCCCCATAACTTATTATTTAAGATCTATTGAGAATATATGGCTGTTATTCTCTATTTCTTTTTCTATCCAAAATATGATGACAAGAATTGTACTTTAAAAATACAGCTAGCTTTAGGGAATATACTTAATTTGGTTCTCATTCAGCCAAGTCTTCAGAAATTAAAACTGATGTTGTAGAGTAGAACCCCAGAGGGGCCATAGAATGTTTGGTTATTAGAAAGATTTTCAGCATATTTACTGTACAGTTCTTACTGGACAAGAAAGCAGGCCGAAAGTTTTGAGAAGCATTTTTAAATCGGGTATGATGAATGTAAAGAGAGGTTTCCATCTGACAGCCTCTATGTGGAACCTACAGACTCATTGTGTTTGATCTTCATGGTAACCACATTTCAAAACTAGTGATTTAGTGTCTTCTTTGAGATTTCATTTTTTTAAAATTTGTTTGAAAGGCAGGTTACAAAGAGAGAAGAGAGAAGGGGAGAAAGAAAGAGATCATCCATCTGCTGGTACACTCCCCAAATGGACACAGTGGCTGGGCTGGGCCAGGCAGAAACTAGGAGCCTAAAACTCCTGGGTGCAACAGGGGCCCAAGTACTTGAGCCATAATACCCTGCTTTCCCAGTCACACCAACAGGGAGTTGGATGAGAAGCCAAGTGACCAGGACTTAAACTGGCACTCATACAGGATACCGGCATTGCAGGCTGTGGCTTAACCTGCTGCACCACAATGCCAGCCCTGAGATTTCATTGTCTTAAAATACACACCTACTTGGCCGGCGCCGCGGCTCACTAGGCTAATCCTCCGCCTAGCGGCGCCGGCACACCGGGTTCTAGTCCCGGTCGGGGCACCGGATTCTGTCCCGGTTGCCCCTCTTCCAGGCCAGCTCTCTGCTGTGGCCCGGGAGTACAGTGGAGGATGGCCCAGGTGCTTGGGCCCTGCACCCCATGGGAGACCAGGAAAAGCACCTGGCTCCTGGCTCCTGCCATCGGATCAGCACGGTGCGCCGGCCGTGGCGGCCATTGGAGGGTGAACCAACGGCAAAGGAAGACCTTTCTCTCTGTCTCTCTCTCTCTCACTGTCCACTCTGCCTGTCAAAAAAAAAAAAAAAAATACACACCTACTCTTAGATTCTTGGTATATCTGGTATTCCTAGTCTCTCCTTTCTACATAGTGACAGTTGGTCAGCTAGAGCTGACTAGCAATTGTCCCCTTCTAAGGGACCATGTCTTATCTAGTTGGCCACCATCCTAATCCATCAGGTTCCCTTATTTGTGTTGCCTGCCAGGCACAGAGGCACTTCAGTTTACAACCTGTGCATTAAATTCCTGTTTTCACTTAACTAGCAAATTAGGTTATCCAGAATGTGCCTGCCTTCTCCTAGGCACTCAGGTTAGTGAGGTAATTTTACCTGAGTACGTACGAAAAGCATCATTTCTAAAGTCTTCTGTAAAGGCCAGTTTGAAGAACGCTAAACGTGATTTTTGGTTTTGACATGTTTGTAGAAATGGCCTTCAACCATGGGATGACGTACAGCGCCAGTTCAGAGAGAGCTGGTGTACCCTGGCAGTGCTGCCCAACAGATCTGTTCTGAAAGAGCAGTTATTTCTAGACTAATTAAAGATCTTGATTAAAAAAATGTACATCTGCCTAGCTGCCTTCTGTCAAATTGCATTTTTATGCAAATTTTCCCTCTTCTATTTTGGTGGGTCTGAAGATGACAACAGCAACACGACAAGAAGTTCTTGGCCTCTACCGCAGCATTTTCAGGCTCGCGAGGAAGTGGCAGGCGGCATCAGGGCAGATGGAAGACACCATTAAGGAAAAACAGTACATACTAAATGAAGCCAGAACGCTGTTCCAGAAAAACAAAAATGTAAGTCAGCTTCGATTGGAGATTGCAAGGAGGGGGGAGTTTCTTACGGTGTTTATTCCTTTCTTTCCTGTCCTACATTGAAAGGACTCAGCAACTCAAATGACAGTGGCAGAGCACGGGGCAGGAAGGGGCTGCAGGCGCAAGCCTGGTTTGCTTGTCCAGCCACTGGGAAGTCAAGTGCAGCCTGTGTTACTGTCTTCTCTTGTTCCAGCTTTCAGTCCAGCCGGTAAGTAGCTCAGTGTCCTCAGCAGACCCCACAAGCCAGGTGACGTGAGTCAGGCAGATGAGTTTTCCAAGGAGAAGCCATTCCTTACACTGTCCCACTGCCCGCCACTCCCACAGGAGGTGCGCAGTGAAATGCTTTTTTCAATTCATAAACTAGTCAGAGCCTCCACATATAGACCCATTCAGAAAGGAGAGAATAGGATTAAGACACAAGGTTCCCTTTATAACTTAGCCTTGAACTCAAGCCTCCTTGGATAGCGGAGTGAGCTCACCCTCTGGGACCACAGAATTGAGTAAAATAGTCCTTACAGTAGCTAGTGTAATGGAACTGCACACCCAGACACCAGGGAGCCAGATTTGACCCATCCCAGCAAATCATAAGGCATTAGCCTTAGCATGGAAAGAGGCTTTCAGCGCCTACTTTTTCATTAGCTTCCTTCTCACTGATTAGTGGATTCAGTGCCATCTTATTCCCATCATGGAACTTCCTAATAATTTATTGTCATGGCTTTTCCCTCTCTGACTCCTGACTCTGTTTCTTTTTGGTCCACTGTGCTGGCAACAAAGGTTGCCCTCTGTGCTAGGCCATGGAACATGCCACTGCCTTATGGTCCCAGCTCTCACATCTGAATACTCAGCCTTAGCCACTGGCCAGCCACCGAAGGGCCTCAGTGCGGCACAGCTGAGCTTTCTACACGAGCACCTGCCCTCCCAGCATGCCCATGTCTTTCAAAGTTGCTGTGACCACTCTGCAAGGCTTTGTTCTCATCAAGTATTTAAGTGGCTACCACATGCTGCACACCAGGATATAAAGCCAAGACAGAGTCCTTCAAAGATATTTCAAAGTTGAACAGAAAGAAATATAAAATTATAGTTGAGATAAATGCTTCCAAAGAAACCCTCCTAACGTATAGTACCTTCCCATTCTTGGGATCCCTGGAGCCTCCCTGCTTTTTAAGACTGAATTGCTGAAGCTTCTCTCTATGCTGCTGACCTTTCTCCAACTTCTCCAGACTTGCTCTTAGCATAGACCATGCTTGCCAAACTAGAGAGCCTGTACCCCATGGAGTCCTTGAACAAGCCACTGTAGAATAGAAATAAAACTGCTATCTCTATTTTTGTACTTCATCTGTTAAAAATGTCTATTTATACAGTCCCTGACTTAGGATGGTTTGATTTACAGTTTCTCAACTCTATGCTGGTACAAAAGTGATACGCATTTAGTAGAAACGATAAATTTTGAAGTATTCGGCACTCTGTTATAAACAGGCTTTGTGTTAGATGATTTTGCATGACGGTAGGGTGATGTAAGTGTTCCGAGCATGTTCAAGGTAGGCGGGGCTGAGCTACGATGTGTGGTGGGTTAGTTGTCTAGTATTAAATGCTTTATTGACTAGCAGTATTTTCAACTTGCTATGAGTTTAATGGGACATAACTCCACCCTAAGTTGAGAAGCATCTGTAATTTCTAAATTAATATATTTATAAATACATAATATGGGAATTGTGGGCTCAGAAAAATTTTATTGGAAGGAGATGATAAAAAGTGTGGAGACCCCTCAAGCAGTTGATTTTCTTTTTCCTCGTATCGTTTATGTTGACCAAACCAGATTTTCAGTTCCTTGAGTACACAGATAATGTCTATTTTTTTTTTTTTTTTTTTTTTTTTTTTTTGACAGGCAGAGTGGACAGTGAGAGAGAGAGACAGAGAGAAAGGTCTTCCTTTGCCGTTGGTTCACCCTCCAATGGCCGCCGCGGCCGGCGCGCTGCGGCCGGCGCACCGACTGATCCGATGGCAGGAGCCGGGGGCTTTTCCTGGTCTCCCAGGGGTGCGGGCCCAAGCACTGAGCCATCCTCCACTGCACTCCCGGGCCACAGCAGAGAGCTGGCCTGGAAGAGGGGCAACCGGGACAGAATCCGGCGCCCCGACCGGGACTAGAACCCGGTGTGCCGGCGCCGCTAGGCGGAGGATTAGCCTAGTGAGCCGCGGCGCCGGCCCGTCTTATACTTTTTCAGTATATCCCATGGGACCTGCTCGTGGTTGTCACTAAATTAATGAGCATTTACAAACACTTTGATTCACTGATCATCTCCAGGAAACCCTTAATTTTTCTGCTCCCCACTCCCAGCTCCATGGTAGCCACCTCTTCTGGATTTCTTTAGCAGGCTGTGGCAGTCACTGCCACACTGATTGATTACATGTCGTTGTGCCTCTGCTGCTGCTTCATGTATCAGAGTTGTTCTGACCAGCATAGCTTCTGTTGAAAGCAGAGACCATGGCCCCACAGTGTCCAGCCTTGGTGCTGGGGATATCCTAGTGTGTGCTCAGTGAAATGTTGCAAGCTCACCTGACTGACTCTCCAGGTTTTCTATTATTGAAGTAATTCTTCCTTTGCTTCTGCTTGTATTGGCCCAAGGGGTGAGCCACAGGGAGGGTGTTATGTGCCTGCTGGGGGGCAGAAAGAAGGAAGTACATGGATTTTTAATTTTAAAATGTCTTTGGTTTAGCATGAATTAGAAAGAGTATCAGATCACACTTTCAGAAATGCTGTTGCTTAGGAGAGTCCATTTAGAGAATTTTACCATTAGGTGGTAGAAGACATGGCACAATCATGCAAATAGCCTAAGAATGACTGACTTTGGAGTCCTGTAGCCTAAGCTTTATCAGATGGACAGCTGCAGCCCAGCAGCTCTAGCCCCATAAACCTTATCTTTGGGAGGGCCTTTTCCTTTCTCCCCAATGCCTCCTACAGATATAAGCAGTTTCTTTTCTTTCTTTCTTTTTTTTTTCTTTTTCTTTTTTTTTACAGGCAGAGTGGACAGTGAGAGAGAGAGACAGAGAGAAAGGTCTCCCTCTGCCGTTGGTTCACCCTCCAATGGCCACCGTGGCCAGCGCGCTGTGGCCGGCGCACCGCGCTGATCCAAAGGCAGGAGCCAGGTACTTCTCCTGGTCTCCCATGGGGTGCAGGGCCCAAGCACTTGGGCCATCCTCCACTGCACTCTCAGGCCACAGCAGAGAGCTGGCCTGGAAGAGGGGCAACCGGGACAGAATCCGGCGCCCCGACCGGGACTAGAACCCAGTGTGCTGGCGCCACAAGGTGGAGGATTAGCCTAGTGAGCCGCGGCGCCGGCCATAAGCAGTTTCTTGTAATTTGAGTTGCTCTTAAGAGCTTAATAATCCTAAGGTATCTTATGAATTGCTCTGACTCCCAGTGGGCCAAAGGGAACATGGAAATTATTCCCAATGTGGAATGCCGAGCAACAGTTTCTGAGAAACACAGGGGTCAGGAAGTTGAGCCCCTGCCCCAAGGGACTCAGCTGTGGTTCTGTGCACTGCTGTTCCTGGAACTCCTCCCCTACCCTCCAAGAGGCACCATAGGGCAGGAACGCCCTTAGAATTTCCAAGCCACATGGACCCAGACGACTCTGTGGGTGTCATCTGGTGCTGATGTAATCCTAGCTCTACTTTGAGGACATGTATTGATTTGCTTTCCTCCTACTCCTACTTGGCTTTCTGTTTCCAAATGGACTTTTCATCCTGTACTTGAAAATGGACTACCACAATTTGACTACTTCAGGGTTTCAAAAGTCTTGTTCCTCTCTCTAATGAGCAAGGCATTTACAGTTTAAGAAGTGGATCATTCTGCAGTTTTTTAGGGGGTTTTTGCACAGCACTTGCTGAAACTCTTGGGTTAAAGTTTAATCATTGTGGGGAGGGTTTGAAGAAGATCCTCATTTAGTGTTGGTAGGAATATAAATTGGTACAGACTCTAGAGTGTAATTTGGGAATATCTGAGAATTAAAAGTGCATGAACTTATATACTTTGTCTTAGCTGTTCTCTTTCAGATATATTTGAATGAAAGTAAAAAAAAAATTCAGAGGGAGTTATAGCTGAACTGTTTATAATGGCAAAAGATTGGAAACAACCTATTAGTAAGAGATTGATTAAATTATAAGGCCTTTTGTTGGAATTGGGTATAGTTTTTAGAAAGAATGAAGCATATGTATGCACGTGAATATAGACAAGCTTCAAGTTACATTAGTGAAAAAGGCTCAGAGCAAAGTAAGCTATCATTTGTGTAAAAAAAAAAATTCTGTATGTACATATGTGCTTATGTGCTTAGAATAGCCTTGGAGGAACACACAAGAAACTGCTGATACTTGTTTCTAGAGGGGGGACTGGAGACACAGGCAACAGGGAGATCCAGTTTTTACATTATCTCCTTTTGGAATTATTTTTAGCATTTGCTTGTAGTACCTATTTCAACAATTTTGAATGCTTAAACTACAGTAAATTTTTAATATTAGATTGAATTTGACTTTTCAGTGATCAATATTTAATTTATTGACTAATAAATGGAAAAAAAATTTAAGAGAATGTATCCCTGTACCTCACATATGCTCAGAAAATTGCTAAAAGCCTCACTTACTTTCCCCTTTCAATAGCTCACGGACCCAGACCTGATTAAACAATGTATAGATGAATGCACAGCCAGGATTGAAATTGGACTTCATTACCAGATTCCTTACCCAAGGCCAGTAAGTGTGACTCCAGTTAACAGGTGGTGGGTACTTGTCCTATTAGCTTGATCATTTTCAAGAATCTACCCAGTGGGCTCGTGAAGAAGCACAGAACCACAACAGAGGGTATGTTAGAAATAAGCCACCCTGTGTGCCACTAACCCATCATGGCAAAGATGTCAATGAATGCCTGATATCATCTACTTCTATAGGTTTGCCACATATGGAAGGGAGAACCAGCTTGTGCTTTTTTTTATAACTTTCTCTTTTGACTGTTTTAGTTTTTATGAAAATATTTTTTTCTTTATTGTAAAAAAAGTAAAAGTTCATATATTAAAGGAATGCTTAAAGTAGAAAGTAAATTGTCAACATCCTATGGAGGTTACCACCAGGCCCATTAGATGGGACCATGTAAAATTGCCAATATTTAACCCTAAGACCTCCTAAAACAGTTCTTTATTATGTTGCTGCAACATAATAGCTTGGTAATATATCCCTTTATTCTTGTTTTCTATATTTATGTACTTGTCTTTTCTTTACATATATGGGATTCAGGACATATTGTTTTTACTGCCTACTTATTTACTTCATCTCTTTTGGACATCTTTGTATATAGTTCAACCCCAATCTTTTAAAATGACTGCACTGTATTCTGTTCTAAGACTGTGCCATTGTATTAGAGTTCTTCAGAAAAGCAGGACTAGTAGGATAGAACGTGCATGTAGATAGAGGTATGGCTAGATACATGAAAAGAGATACATTATCAGGCACTGGCTCCCCTGATTATGGAGGCTGCAAAGTCCCATGATCTGCAGGGTGGAGACCCAGGAGAAAGCTAGTAATGTAATTCAGCCTGAGTCTGAAGATCTGAGAACCAGGGGAGGCAGTGCTAAGAATCCCAGTCCAAGATGAAATGTCCCAGCTCAAACAGGCAGGCAGGAAGCAAGAAGGAGAACTCCTCCTTCCTCTGCCTTTTTGTTCTATTTGGGCTCTTTGTGGATTGGATGATGCCCATCCACCTTGGGAAGGGCAATCTGCATACTTCACTGAGACCACTCCCAGCACGAATCTCAGCCAGGAACACTCTCACAGACACAACCAGGAATAATGTTGAGTGGCACCCCATGGCCTGTAGGATTGATACATGAAATTAACTACCACAGCCATGATTTGTTTTAAAAAGATTTCTTTATATGAAAGAGTTAAAGACAGAGAAAGAGAGAGAGATCTTCCATTGTTGCTTCACTCCTCAAATGGCTACAACAGCCAGGGCTAGCCCAGGCCAAGACCAGGAGCCTGGAACTCCATCCAGCTCTCTCACACAGGTACAGAGTCCCAAGCCCTTGGGCCATCTGCCGCTGCTTTCCCAGGCACATGAGCAAGGAGCTGGATTGGAAGTGGAGCAGCCAGTATTCACACTGACCTCATATGGGATGCTGGCGTCACAGATGGCAGCTGAACCTGCTGTGCCACCATGCCAGCCCCCACAGCCGTGATTTAACTAGCTCTCTATTAGTAGGCATTTAGGTTGGACCCAATTTTCCACTATGCACTGAACATCTTTGTATCTACCCTCTTCCCCCCACCCTCCTCCTTCACCGGAATCCCTTGCTGCTGTATGATCTGTGGTTATTTTCTATTTTAGGCAATTAACAAAGAAGAGCACATGCTCCGGCATGATAGGTCTGGGTTCAAATCCTGGTTCCAACACTTAATTTGCAAGTTATTTAACTTTTCTGAGCCTCTATTTTCTTATCTATAAATAGTGGAGTGATTTATGTGAGATTGTAAGACTTAATTTGGGCAAAAACCATGAAGATTAATGAGTCAGTATAGATTTAGTGTGGTAAATCTATGGTACTTAGTAAATCCACAGTGAACAATGTAAGATTCTGCAATGGATATAATCTTTAATATCACCGTCATTCTTATTATTCAGATTCACCTACCTCCAATGGGCCTCACCTCCCTTCGAGGCCGGGGACTTCGAAGCCAAGAGAAACTGAGGAAACTCTCCAAACCAGTGTATCTCAAGTCTTATGATGAAGTTTCCTAATCCAGAAGGAAGTTTATTTCTGAGAATGATGAGCCAACATGATCTTGAATGTAAACCAGATGTCAAAACCCATCTCCTTAACCAGGGGCAAAAATCCAAGTGTCTTCTTAAGATGTGTAAAACTTTGTGCTTATTATACATCCATAGAGTTTGTCAGAGTCTTGCTGCCTGAGTGGATGACATTAACCTGGAGGTCAGGGGCCTTAAGCGCCCTGAAAACACTGTTGGAGATAAGACTAAGTCCTGTGGGAGGAAGGATGAGAGTGATGGAGCTTCTCACGGGAATGCTGTTCACCGACAGACCAGCTGATGCAAACTGCTGAAAGTCCTCATGACTGCTATAAAACTGCATGCCACCCTCGGAATGTTTTTAAACTTTTTTTTTTTCCAAGTTAAAGATTTGCGTAAAAGTAGGGTTTTCTGAGTGTGCTCTTTGATTCCCCTTAAAAGGGGCATCACTGAATTGACTGTAGTTTCTCAAAGAATTTTTATATGAACCATTCCTCCCCCATACACATAAAGAAAAGTACATGTCATAGTTAAATTGCATATGGTTATCTTAAAGATGCACTTAAGATCTGTAAAGCTCACTTGAAACTCATACTGCATTCATTCTGAATGTTTTACCTTAACATAATTAAAAATACAAGGCCCCAGTTGGCTTTCAGATTATGTCTAAACACAAGTGAGACAGATAGATCAAAACACAAAGAATTTACAGCCCTGCATGTATGGAGTCAGAGTCCCTTGTCGAGTCATTTGTGCATCAGTGTCATTTCCTCTTACCTCCAAAGAGGATGGGCATCACCAATAAAGACAAATCTCTATTAATTTTGCTCTTTGTCTTCTTTTCCAAAATGGGCTTGGGACTCTCAGAAGCAGCACTTGTATCCTACTTGTATAAACGGGAGCATGCTTTTTTTAATGCCAGGGCAAATATTACCGGGTTTGGGCAATGACAAGGAGAATAAATATACTGTTGTCAGCGGAGCAACAGCATATGCAGTTAACACAAATGGAGCTGTAGGCCTTTGGTGAAGAGACAGAGATGTAAATGTAAATATGAGCACATATCCCAGCCTTGTTTGAACTGGAAGGCATGAATCTGCTTCTTCAGCTACTCCACTTCCAGCCCATCTTTTAATGGAAGCATTTTTCTGCCTACAGATGATTCTAATATTTAAAGTTAAGTATTTCCCATGTAATATAGGTTCTGTGAACGCAAACCAATGACTTTATCTGGTGGTCGGGAGTGAAACAGTGATCTGTTCCTGCACAGGAGGAAAAACTGGTTGTGCTGGACAGGGTGAGATATGGCTTGCCCATCTCCACAATGGTGCCTTTCTAAGTAACTCAAGATAGCATTTTAAATTTATTTGAAAGGCAGAGAGACAGTTATCTCCATCTACTGGTGCACTTCCCAAATGCCAAAAAAGGGCTGGGGGTAGGCCAGGCTGAAGCCAGGAGCTAGGAATTCTATCTGGATCTCCCATGTGAGTGCAGGGACCTAACTACTTGAGCCATCACCTGTTGCATCCCAGGGTGCAAAATATCAAGAAGCTGGATCAGAAATGGAGCTGGGACTGGAACCCAGGCATTCTGACATGGGATGCAGGTGGCTCAAGACACATCTCAACAGCTGCACCAAACGCTCCTCCCTCAAGGTGCAATGTTTGCTTCACTCTACTAAGAGGAGTAGTCACCCTTCTTACCCAAACTCCTCCATGGTGGAGGTCCATCTAATTGCTAGCCAGCCTTTCAATATCTTCTATATGTCAGTGATCCTACCTAAATATGAGTTTTATATACTCCCTTTGCAAAGATGTATATACTCTCACACAAAAATACAGTTAATTTACTACCAAACCTTTCATATAACCTGGTTTTTAAAAGTTTTTTTTTTTTATTTATATATATTTGCACAGCAGAACAATAAAAAGCCCACAATATGTAGAGCCGGGCCAGGGTGAAGCCAGAATCCCAGAATGCCATCCCTGTCCCACATGGGGGGCAGAGACCCAAGCACAGGAGCTGTCATTTGCTGCCTCCCAGGATACACATCACCAGGAAGCTGGACTGAAAGCCAGAGTGGGGACTCAGGATGCAGCATTCCAGCCAGCATCTTAAAAACTATTGTGCCACAACTCCCACTCTGTGTTTTCCTCCAAACTATAAAATCCCCATCTTCTGTCTTTAAAAGGTAGAACCTGCCTGCCCTACAGTCCCTCTGTCAATGCAATTTTCTTCCAGTGCTGACAAGGACTGAGCACAACTGTTTACCCAACAGCTAGATTTGTAAAGAGCAAGGAATAGCTTGGTGACAAGGTTTGTCTGATGTCATCTGCTGAGCTATTTATAGGCAAAGCCTGCAGTGTCTCACCAAGCTGATTTCTGGCCATCTCTGCCCCAGGACTCCAGCCTCTAACTCCCCATGATTTCTGAAGAGCATATTGCTTTTTCCCAGGAGGAGACATTACCACATTGGCCCCAGCAGAAAATGACCTTAAATGTAGGGCAATCTCTTCAAAGCAGAGGGAATTTTTTAAATTACAAAAATTCAATCCATCATACGAAAACATTCTGTCCCTTGACCCCTGAGGAAGAATACAGACACTCCCTGCCTCACTCAGCTTTTTGTTGCTGGAGCTGGGGTTAGAGAACTGTAATTAAAATTCGGTTGTTCTCTTAGCAACCCCCTCACTGCCAGCTCTTTTATAGCTTGCAATATGACTTACCTACCAGTCCAAAATTCAGAGATATGGGGTCCCAACCATCTTTCCATCTCATGTGACTAATAGTCTTACTTGGAACAGTGTGCCAGTCCCAGTTATCTGTTCATTTTGATTTCTTTAACCCCATCGGAAAATGTTGTTTATTTCTAGAAGGAAAAAAATAGGGGCCAGCTTTGTGGCACAGAGGGTAATGCAATATCAACATCTCTTATGGGTGTCGGTTCAATCCCAGCTGTTCCACTTCTGATCCAGCTCCCTGCTAATGCACCTGAGAAAGCAGCAGAAGATGGCCCAAGTGCTTGGGTCCCTGCATCCATGTGGGAAAACCTGAAGAAGCTCCTGGCTCCTGCCTTTAGACTGGCATAGGCTGTCATTGCTGCCATTTGGGGGAATGAAATAGTGGATGGAAGAGCTCTCTCTCTCTCTCTCTGTCCTCTTTCTGTAAAATAACTAATTAACTAAATATTTTAAAAATTATTTAAAAAAAAATAACTATTAAGCTACCTACTTCGAGCTGAAGGAGACTGGCTCCTCCTTACTGTATTTTCATGGCCCCAGCAAGACTAGAAGAACTTCTCCTTCTGCTTTATCTCTAGGATCACTTGGATGGTTTGCTAATCTCAGAATTCAGAGCCTTCAGTCAGAAGGCACCACGAGGAAACTGAAAGTAAAGGTCTCTGAATATGTTTATTTGGTTCACAGAAGCTTCCCACATTTAGGAAAAAAATTAGAGACCCTCAGTCGAGACATTTCTCCTTGAAGAAATTTCTTCAAGGCGGAAAAGCTGGGCCAGGCACACTGACTCTCAGATAGCCTCATGGCTGTTCAGCTGTGAGGGGACCAATGGCATGCCCTGAAAGAAGCCACCTGGAGCGAGACAGACAGCAGAGAAGTAACTCATCGAGCGGTTGATTTTTATCTCCCTCAGGATTCTCTTCCAGCTGGCCCCAGGGACTGAAAAGTTCTTGGACTCGGTTGCGTAGTTGGAGCTACATATCTCTTCTAAGATTCTGCATCACAACATAGCCAAGGCTTTGGCAGGAAGGCAGCATGTGGCAGCGAAAAATGCACGAGTTCAAGAGCCAGACAGATCTCAGTTCAAAACCTGGCTCTGGAATCAGACGGAGGTAGGGGATCTTAAGCAAGTTGCTTAGTTGCTTTGAGCCTCCAGAGGGCGAGACAGCCATTCCCAACACAGGATGAACTGAGCTATCTAAAGGCATGCTGACACAAATGCTAACACAGTATGCATACAACAAATATGCCTCTCTTACCTCTCCTTTCTTCCTGAAATGACAGCCCATCTGTGTGGGTTAACAGAAAAGCAACTGGGTCCCACCCAGTGCCACCACTGATTAGTTGTAAAATGGTACTTAATTTTTCAAATCTCCATTTTTGCATTTTGGAGATCATGATAATACCTACTGCATAAGCATGTTGTGAGACGTACTTCCACAGTGTATCACAAATCAGCATGGCCTAAGCTTTTTGCCATTAGTCCATGTAGCTAGACTAGGAAGTGACTGAAATACTGTGACAATTAATAGGAAGAAACTTATCACAGGGGAGCTGAGCCAAACGACTAAGGTCTAAGTTGAATAATGCCACTGCCAGTGTTAAATTCTACTTTGGTAGCTACTTGCTTTGGGAGAATTGCTTACCTTCTTGTATCACTTTTTCTATAGCCATAAAATAAGGATAATAATGACGACCCCCACTTTATAGGGCCGCCGTGAAATACCTGGCTCACAGCAGTTGGTCTACCAATGTATTCATCATTGTCATCATCATCATATCATGTGACTCTCAGGAAAAGAAAGTGAGGCTGTAGTGGAAAATGAAATGCTTTTTACTATTCATTTTGAGACAAAAGGCATCAGTTATCCAGCTGGCACAGTGAGGCCACCCCACGGTTTATCCAGTGCTTCTGCGGCAGATCTGTAGGGAGCTCAATTGAGAGGACGTAGTTGGTGGAGTGGCCAGTGGTAGACAGGGTGCCCCTCCGGGCACTAGTTTTGTAGACAGGACACACGTAAATGTTCTGATGCAGAAACAATGCACTCTTCCCAGGTTTCAGCCAAATGATAGGCAATGGGTCATAGAGGATTTTGGGGAGAGACTCTCCAATCTGCATTGTTTTCCTGTCCCAACGAGCACCTTCTAGGAAGAGCCCTTTTATGTAGGCCCCATCTTCTGGGTTATTCTCCATGACAGTTTCTTGTGTGGTTACCTGGAAGAGTGGAAAGCTATGAGTTCCGTTGCCTGCAAAGGGCAGTATTAGGAGTTTGGAATCCTCTGATACCCAAAGTGCAACCTGGCTGCAATGTCTACTTCTGCCAGAATGCATCTCCAAGGACAGTGGAGCTTCTGTGATAATATCTCTGGCTGCCATTCACAGGCCAGCTCTGATCCCTAGTCATCATGCTGCCCCTCTATAAGGCAGGCACAAAAATGTGCTATAGGAGCCAGGAGGCTACATTCACTATAACTACCTAGTGACCTTGCACAAACCCCTCCCTTTCTGGATCTGATCTATAAAGTGAGGGGTTAGATTCATATTCAGAGGCAGGCTGGGGATGGGAGTAGGGGAAAGAAAGCCTTGACTTGTGGTTTCTGTCGAATTCTGAGGTATAAAAGGCTGCTATTGTGTTTGATTTCAAACCACTAACCCACAGCCAGCTCAAAAAATTCCTAGAAATACAAAAAGTGTCTCTGATGAGCTGTGTGAGTGAGTTCCAGCATATTACTATCTAGATTCAAGCGTTCATATACTAAAATTCCTTCAGGTAAATGCAGACAATGGGCTGGAGTAAGACAATCCCAAGTGCGTATTCAGTATCCCAAGCATGTATTTACTACTATGCCAAATGCCTCCCCCAATTTTTGTATTTTTACTCAATATCCATTACCATACAGACTCTTCTGTTGATTTTGATAGGTGTGTTTTAGAGTCTCTTAGTTATTTAGTTTTATTATGGTATTCACTTTGTCTTAACATAGTCCTCCAAGTCCCATCAAGATCATTCATAAACTAAATTAAGACCTTGGCCAACCAGTTTGTGATCTCTGGACTAGATCTCAAAGGATACACAGAATTTA